CAGAGAGAGAGAGACAGAGAGAGACAGAGAGACAGAGAGAGAGAGAGAGAACTATCATTAAGGTGGATTGGGAAAGGCTTCTTGTAGAAAATGGAATTTTAGCTGGGACTTGAAGGAAACCAGGGAGGTACAGATCAAGAGGAAGAGAATTCCAGGTATGAGGAAGAGTGGAGATAGAGTATATGGTTTGAGGGAGAGCTAGAAGAACAGTATTACTTGGTCACAGAGTGGGGGTGGGAAAGACTGGAAAGGCAGAGTGCAGGTTGGATTATGAAGGGTTTTAAAAGTCAAGCCTTTAAAAGGACTTTGATCCTGGAAGTGATAGGGGGCCACTGGATGTTATTGAACAGGTGGATGACAAGGTCAGACCTGCACTTGGAGAACATCACTTTGATCTGAGCAGGGAATGGATTGGGATTTCTTATGTTCATTCTTCGCCCTTCCATGTGCCTCTGTGCAGGGTCTCATGAGACTGGGTGGAACAAACCCATAAGGAAGTGATGATGGGGTTATGCTCACTACTTCCAGGGTCCTGGGCAACTTCTTTCTCTGACCCCGATTCTTTTTAGCCTGATGCTGGGTCTGTATGAATATCCAGAAGTAATTGATTCTTCTTCTCAATGGTTATCAAAGCTCTGGCACCGTCCCCAAGTTGCATGGGACTGGAGATTGCAGATCATGGCAGCATGGGGCACGGGCTGCTGGTGGTGGTGGTAAAGAGCCCTGGGCGGGCCAGTGATAACACATCTGTTGAGAAGCAGGGAAGCTGGCTCTTAAGCAATGACCTCTAACCACCTACTCCATCCTCGCCTTCTTCCTAGGATGGATGGAACATACTCAACTTTGTGATTGTCTTTATGCTGGTGCTGAGCCTTTTCTTCGAAACGCTCCAAACCATTTCCATCATTTACACCCTGAGGTAGGCAGGATGAAAGGACCAGCCTGTCTCCTTGAGCCAGACTTGCTGCTGTATAGACTGAGAACTAGGGCTTCAGAGGAAGGCAGATGAGGGGCACCGGCAGGTGGAGCGAGCCGATAGGATATGTCTGGGCAAGAGGGGAGTTGAGGAGCTGAGGATCACCTGCTTGCTTGACCACCCCAGGGAGAACAGGATGGAGAGGGAGGGGACCCTCTCCTGGGAGGGAGCAAGAAGACGATAGAGGAATCTGAGGCATCTTCCCCTCTCCCCGCTTCAGGGTATTGAGACTGGTGCAAGTATGCATGGCCGTGGAACCCCTGGCCCGGATTCTGCGTGTCATTATGCAGTCCGTGCCTGACATGGCCAACATCATGGCGCTGATCCTCTTCTTCATGCTGGTCAGCCTCTTCCTTGGGGCCTTCTTAAGAGGGACCTTCTCCCACCCTGGAACCCTTTCCCTACCCCCCTTCCTAAAACCACCTCCGACCCAAGCCCCTGGAGATAGTACTGCCCTTGGGGTAACGAGACCTGGCTTCAAATCCCTGGTGTGACATTAACATGACATAAGACAAATCCATTTACTTCCTGGAGCCTCCCTTTCCCATCTACAAAAGGGATGTAATAATGCTTCTACTCTCCATCTCCCAGGGGGTTGGTGAGGAAAGCACTAGACCCTAAAACACCAGCTCCAAATCCTTTCATCCCTATAGGTTTTCTCTGTTTTTGGAGTCACCCTCTTTGGCTCCATGGTCCCTCAACATTTCCAGAACATGAAAGTGGCCCTTTATACTCTCTTCATCTGTATCACCCAGGATGGGTGGGTGGACATCTACAAGGACTTTCAGTAAGTAAAGTAATGGCCCTCCCCCAAGATGTGGGATGGGGATGGGCCTTGCACAGGACCTCTTCCCTGAGAAGAGAAATGTCACACAAACTATGACGAATACAATAGAATAATGGGGTGAGGGGACGGTGAGGCTTTGATTGGGGGCTAGAGTTGACTGCCAACATGATTCCAGGGGTTCTACCATGTCAAGGATAGTGGAGGAATGCTAAGACCATAGACTAAGACTGAGGGACCTTTCAGGCCAAGGGAAGAAAGCCTGAAGGAAGAGCAGAGCTGAGATCTTCCTCATTTGTCACTGAAATGCCTGATTTCCAAGGAATGAAGGAACCTTGTTCAATTCCTTCCAGGTCCATAGCCTTTTTTTTTTTTTTTTTTTTAGAGGGGGAGGGCTAATTTCTTTTTCATTCTGGCTAGTTTTGTTTTTATTCCATTGCACAATTTCTGTTGGTATATGGACCAATTTATCTTTAGCATACTGCCTACAGTTGACCCTAATGTCTAAATTATTTTCTTTTAAAAATGTTTTATTAATGCTTTTTACATTAATACCATTTCCCCACCTTCACACAAACACACCCACACCCACACCCACACCCACACCCACACCCACACCCACACCCACACCCACACACACACACACACACACACACACACACACACACACACATCCTTTTTTTCGTGACCAAAAAAAAAAACTTTACTGGTAACAAATAAACTCCACCAAGCAAAACAAATCAACACACAGGCCATGGCCAGAAACGTATGCCTCATTCTGTACCTCTAGGCAACCATCTCTCTGTTCAGAGGTGGGAGGCAGGCCTTACCATCAGTCCCTCTAGAATCATAGGAACATAGATTTGAACAGAAGATGACCTCAGCTCACTTTACAGATAAGGAAATTGAGGCTCAGAGAGGGTAAGAAATTTACACGCAGTCATGGGAGTATACTGCATTGCTCAGAGGTCTTTCAATATTGTTTTCCCTTCTATTTCATTAAGATCATCATGTAAACTATTCTCCAGGTTGTGCATACCTTGTTATGCATCAGTTCATACAACCTTCCTCAATTTTCTCTGAATTCTCCATGTTCATTATTTCTGACAACATAGGAATATATTCCATTACATTCATAGACCACAATTAGCTCAGTCATTTCCTAATTGATGGGTATGCACTTTTCTTCTAGTGCTTTGCTACTACAAAAAAGTGCTACTATTAATATTTTTTGTGCATATGAGATCTTTCTCTCTCTTTTTTAACTTCCTTGGGGTACAGACCTAATAGTGGTAATGTTGAGTCAAAGGGTACATACAGCTTTGTGACTTTTTTAATATAATTCTAGAGTGTCCCCCCCCAAAAGTGGGACTATTTCGTAGTTTATGTGCTTGTTTTCCCAAAGCCCCTCCAACATTTACCTTTTTTCCAATTTGGCATCTTTGCCAGGATGACAAGTATTAGGTGAGAACTCAGAGTTCTTTCTTATTTTGCTAAGTAGTGATTTGGAGCATTCTTTTATGTGGCTATCAGTAGTTTAAATTTCTTCTTTTGAAAACTGTCTGTATCCTTTGACCACTTATCTATTGGAGAATGGCTCTTATTTGTATATATTATTTTTTTAAAAATCAATTCACCATACATCTTATGTATCAGACTTTTTTCAGAGCTACATCTGAAAAGATTTTTCCTCATTAACTGTTTTTCTTCTAATTATAGTTGAATTGATTTTGTTCACAAAAAAATTTCAATTTTGTGTGATAAAAATTATCCATTTTATCTTCTGTGATTATATCTATTGCCTGTTTAGTCAGAAATTCTTTCCCTAGCATATCTGTGCAAGATACCTCCATCTATTCTCCTCTACTTTTTTTTGATGATGTGACCTTTTATATTTCCATTTTGGAATCCATTTCTAATCCATTTTGGAGCCTATTGTGGTATATGACATAAGCTCAAGCTATTTTCAATATTCCCTCTCCCCCATCTCAATTCAATTTAGACCAGCCTCCTGAATTCTTTTGGTCCTCCCCAAGTTTAGGCATATCAGAATCTCCAGTCTCTTTACTCAGGGAAGGGGCACAAGGTGACAAGGGGTCCCCGCTGTCTCCAGGAAGGAAAAAAGGGATATCGGGATAGAGATCGGGGGTGCTGTTTACTTTGCCATCTTCATCACCATTGGTGCCTTCATTGGCATTAACCTGTTGGTGGTTGTCGTGACCACGAACCTGGAAGAGATGATGAAGGAGCGGGAGCGGGAGCAGCAGCAGGAGGTGACGACTTTCACCAGCCTGGAGGTAAGTGATGATCCCAGATGGATGTGTCCTGACCTGGGGACTAGGGCTCCCTGGAGGACACTGTGAGCAAATCACTAATCCTGGGCCCTGGAATCAGGAACCAAGATACTTAGGAATCAGAGGTATAGGTCATGGAAAAGTTTCTGAAGCCTGGAGGTTCTGAGAGTGAAGGGGTCTTCATTTTCCCAAGAGTCGTTTATTTTCTGAGGTTCTAGACCTTCAAGGGTAAGCTGTATCTGAGGATACGGGAACTTCAGAGGAGGTAGGATTGGAGAGGAAACCTGGTACAGTGGTCAAGGCATTCCAACTAAGACTTAAAAATCCCTGCTTTACTCCCTACCAGGTAGGTGGTACCTACCAGATTCAAATCACTTATCTCCAGGTCTCAGTGTCTTAATCTATAAAATGAAGGGTTAGAAATGAATTTAGGGTTAGGTCCCTTCTATCTCTAAATCCTATAATGTCATGTCTTCCAGCAGGGTGGAGGTTTGGGGCAGCAGGGCTTCTGGAGGGTAAACAGACGTGTGGATAATACCTGCTGCTGCTGCTACAACCATCATTTTTTTTTTTCTTTACCAATTGGGGGAACAAATATTGACTGGGACACAGAGGATAGAGAAAAACTAGGGTCATTAGGACTTAGTTATCCCAATGTCTAGAATTCCCTCTGGCTACAGTAACTGGCAAACCCCCTGTTAAGAGGCATCATGGTATAGTGGAAGGAACATTGGATTGGGAGACCAGTGTTCAAATCCTAGCTCAGACCCTTATTAAATTCTGAATTGGTTGAATGACTGGTCTAAAAAAATATTGATGAAAGGATCTCTGACAAGAAAGTACTTCATTCCCTCCATGAACTCTCACTCTGATGTCTCATCATGGTGTGGAGGCCACCTTGGGTTCTCAGAAGATATGCTGGTGAACTGTAAAATCTGGCAGGTTTTACTATGAGGAAAGGTTTCTATCGTGGTCCTGGCAACAGGATGTGTCTTCTTTCTGAGGATTAGCCTAGCTAAGTCTAGAGAGGCTCAACTCTAAGTAGGCTTGCTATCTGGGGATGAGTACAGGATGATCCTGAATTCTACTTAGCTACTTTCTGCTCTGGCAGGATTATGGGAAAGAAGGCAGAGGGGGCTAAGAATTTCATAAGAACTGTCTATAAACATTCATTTAGTTTCTGGTACTCTAAATGTCCAATGACCCTTGAACTGATATATTCCACACCACGCTGCCTGCACTACAGCTATCTTCCCCTTCCTATCAGAACCTTTTTGGATTTTCCCCTTGGGAATGCTAAACTGTAGGAGAACCTTCACCTCATCTTGCCAGGAACTTCCATATATTCCCAGGTCATCTCTACACCATGCTGCTTCCAGGGTAGACTCTCCCAGCTTTTGGGCTCCACTTTATGTATTATTTCCCCACCCTCATTAGAATGTAAGCTCCTTGAGGGCAGGAATTGTGGCCATTTAGGAGCAAAACTCTTTGATAACCACAAGTTTCTGTATTTTATGCCTTTCTTTTTTAAAAAATTTATTTATTTTTAGTTTTAAACATTCACTTCCACCAGATTTCGAGTTCCAAATTTCCTCCCCATCTCGTCACTCTCCCTACCCCAACATGGCATGCATTCTGAATACCCCTTCCTCTAATCTGCCCTCCCTTCTATCTCTCTCCCACTTCTCTTATCCCCTTCCCCTTCTATTTTCCTGTAGGGCAGGATAGATTTCTATACCCCATTTCCTGTATTTCTTATTTCCCAGTTGCATGTGAAAACAATTTTTTAAACATGTGTTTTTAAAACTTCGGGTTCCAAATTTTCTCCCTTCCTCCCTCCCCACCCACCCTCATTGAAAAGGCAAGCAACTCAATACAGGTTATACATGTGTAGTTTTGCAAAACACTTCCATAGTAGTCAAGTTGTGAAAAACTAACTATCCTTTAATCCTATCCCACCCCCCATTTATTCTATTCTTTCTTTTGACTCTGTCCCTCCTCAGAAGTGTTTGCTTCTGATTACCCCCTCCTCCAATCTATCCTCCCCTCTATCATCCCGCTGCTCTCTTGTCCCCTTCCCCACCCCCACACCCCCACACCACTATTTTCCTGTAGGGTAAGATAGATTTCCATACCCAATTGAGTGTGTATATTATTCCTTCCTTAAGCAAAATTCTATGAGAATAAGATTCACTCATTCCCTCTCATCTTCCCCCATTTCCCTTCCACTGTAAAAGCCTTTTTTTGTCTGCTTTATGTGAGATAATTTACCCCATTCTACCTCCCCCTTTCTCTTTCTCCCAGTACAATCCTCTCTTACCCCTTAATTTTATTCACCAGATATCACCCATTCATCTTCAACTCACCCTGTGCCCCCTATCTATCTATCTATCTAAATACATACATATAACTATACCTTTCTTAATATTAATGATCACAGATAGAGTCATTGAGAGAGGTAATCTCTGTTGGGACCTCATTCAAGGAATCTTATTATCACTTATTAATACGTGCACAGAAAACACCTTGTTGAAGAGGAATCTTTGAGGTAGCATTTTGAATGTCAGAATTAAAATTTTTTTATAGTTAACAAGCAGCAAGGGCCATAGGATCGTGTATGCTCGGCACCTAAAATGGAATGCCCAGAACCGAACACAACACTCCATGTGTGGTCTGAGCTAGTCAGGGGACAAATGATCATTGTGTTCTATACTCTTCTCCTATTTATAATCCTCATTCTCCTATTCATCCTACACTTGAGGAGGATTTCTAGCATATAGTCTAGATTGAAGGAGGATTCTCTGTAGATGGTGAGATCTTCCAGATGGTCCTGTCTGTAGATGAGCATGTGTTGAATGTACCAAGTGACCAGAATACGGCAGAGATTACTGAATGAGATCCAGAATCTCTCAAGTTCAACCTACCATTCATATTAGAAAAAAAAAGTGTATGAAGAACACCTGCTGTTTGATAAGTAGTTGCATGGACAGTCTGTAGAGCTGGTCCATTGAGCATTCCTCTTGAACTGATGCTGCGGATGGACAATGAATGAATGAGATTGGTCCTGAATGAACAAAGGGAGGAATGGGGTGGGGGGGGCTAGATTCCATTTGGAAACTGCAGTACTATTAATAACTCCAAGGTTCTCTCCAAATCAAAAATGTTAACAACAATGGATAGAGCTCCGGCCTTGGAGTCAGGAAGACCTCAGTTCAAATCCAGCCTCAGACACTTGACACTTACTAGCTGTGTAAGTCTGGGCAAGTCATTTAACCCTGATTGCCTCACCAAAAAGCAAAAAAAAATATTAACATCTTCCAATGTTGCCACATGCATGCAAATCATGAAGTATCACAATTTACAAAGATTTTAAATTGTAGAATACCCGAAAGGCAATGGAAAGGTACATGGTAGATCTGAAAGGACATTTTTGCAGAGATGCATGACCAGATAAGGCAAGCCATGTGGCAAGACTGAGGGATAACTGATGGACAGCCCATGTGCCATTTTGGTATCCATGTGATACCAAGAGATCTAGTGGATAATCCCCTGTAGATTAAGTGCAGCTCCTGGGAAGTTATGGGAGAACATGAATAGGAGTTAACATTGTGAGTACTCATGGGTATATAGCCATCTGCACCATTTGAGGGAGTACCCACACTGGTGAGATCACAGAACCCCCAAAATGTCACAATATCAATGTGGAGGAAGTACCTAATGGATTGTCCCAGTGTTCCATCCTTATCCCTCAGCTCTTCAACATTTTAATTATTGACTTGGATGAGGGCGTAAATGGCAGGCCTATAAAATGTGTAGGAGGTATAGCTAATAGATTGGGCAATAGGACTGGCATGTAAAAAAGCTAGAATATTGGGTCAAATTTAATCAAACTGAGTTTAATAAGGATAAAAGTAAAGTCTTACACTTTGGTTCAAAAACTCAATTTCACAAGTATAATACATAATGTGAGAGAGTAGTGGCTAGACAGCATTTCTGAAAAAGATCTGGAGGTTTTAGTGGGCTACAAGCCCGATATTAGTCAACAGAAGGACACGGCAAATGAGTCAGAAGAAAAGTTCATTTAATCAGTTGCAGTGTGTATAAATAGAAGCAGAGTGTAGAAGACAGGCAGTAATAATTTGTCTTCTGTCCAACTTAGACCACAATTGGAATACCATGTTTACTTCTGGCCACTACATTTTAGGAAGGACTTTAATGAAGGAGTATTTAACCAGAGGGCAGCCAGGATTTTAAGGGATTCTAGAAGCAGTTAGTTATTTCAGTGGATAGAGCACTGAGTGAGGGAGACAGGAAGACCTGAGTCGAAATTCTGCTTCAGATATTTTTTATCAACTGTTTGACCCTGGGCAGGTCACTTAACCCCTGTCTGCCTCAGTTTCTTCATCTGTAAAATGAGGATAATAATAGCACCTACCTCTTAGGGTTGATGTGGGAAGCAAATGAAAGAATATCTATAAAATATTTTGCAAACCTTAAGATACTACATAAATGCTAAGCTATTATTATTATCATTATTATTTTTATTATTACTGGGAAAGTGGAAAGAACTGGGAATAGAGGTATAATCTAGAGAAAACTTATTAGGGTCACAATAATTGTATTCAAATATTTGAAGTGTCACCATTTTGAAAAGGGATTAGTTTTGCTCTGTGTATTACCATGGCAAAACTAGGATTAGCAGGTAAAACGTAACAGAGAGGTTGAATTTGACTTAATAGAAGGAAAAACTTCCTAACACTCAATTATCCTAAAGTGAATCAGGTTGCCCTGGAGGTACCTAGACTCCTTTCCCCTGGAGGCTCCAGCTGAGGCTGGTTACCTTGGAGAGGATTCCTGATTAAGGTAGGGGTTGTATGAGGCCACCCCCTCCAGCCTCGGTGATTTTGGTCCCCCTGACCTCGGGCAAATCTCCTCTCCTCCCTAAACTTCAGTTTCCACTCCTCTAAAAAGGGGATACAATTCACACTGCCCTGCCTACTTCACAGGGCTTTGGGGAAGAGAGGGTTACTATAAAAATGTGAGTTGTGATTGTGTTGTGCTTAGATGAGCCAAGATGACTACACAAGCGACGAGAAACCAGAGCTTCAGCTAGTGCATTGTAGGGAATGCATCGCAGACTGGGGCGGGTCGTCCAAGCAGGAGCCGCTGTCTGGAGGGCCGTTGAAGAACCTGTCTGAGAACACCTGCGACAACTTCTGCCTGGTGCTCATAGGCATCCAAGAGAACCTGCAGGCCTACAAGGAGATCCGGGAGGAGATCAACAGGTATGCCCGGGATTGGGGAGACAGGACCTGGCAGGGATGGAGGTGGGGGGTGGGGAGGACCTGGGAGGGGCGTGGGGGGGGGCCTGGAGGGGGCGCAGGGGGGGGAGGGCGGGGGAAGGGCGGTGGGGGGGGAGAGGAGGAGGACCGGGAGGGAGTACAGGGTTGGGGGAGACCTGGAGAGGACTTGGAAAGGGCAAGGGGAAGGGAGGGCAGGGGAGAGGAGGGTAACCAGGGCTCTCCAGCTGGCAGGAGAGCTTTCTGACGAGGTTTATCTTAGAGGGTTAACCAGAGGGGAAGGCATCCCTGGTAGGGAAAGGAGAGGCCTGGGAAAGGAGTGGTGGTAGTGGAGAAAGCTTTGGGAGAGGGGATGGGGGATGCACTTGAGGGGGACAGGAGAAGGGGGGCAAGTCTGCAGGAGTGGAGACTCCTGGAAGGAGTAGGAGGGCTGCAGGGAGGGAGTGTCCTTTTAGGAGGGCATCTGGGATGGGATGAGGGCGTGGGGATGATTGGGTGGGAGGAAGGGCTCTTTTAGCTCGTGAAGTCTGAGGTCTGGATGAGCCCCATTAGATCGCGTTCATTTCTCCCCAAGCCTTTCTGTCTTAGCTGAGAAGCGTGCTGGGCCAGACTTCTATCCTCAGTTTCGGTCACCCTCGTCCTCTTTTCTCCCGTCCCTGACCCCGTCATGTCCACTGACATCCCCACCCCGACCCCTGCAGGATTGTGGAAGAGGTTCGCTCCATCCGCTTCAACCAGGAGCAAGAAGAAGAGATGCTACAACGAAAGTGGCATCGGAACCTTTCTGAAGCGAGTGAAACCTCGGTGCACAGCCAAGACATCCTGTCCAGGCTCATGAGCAAGGAAAGGGTGGGTGCACATCCTGACTTCGGGCCCAGATTCCACGGCAGCAGTCACGTCATGTTGGGTCCTTGTGGGAAGAGGGAACCTCCCCAGTGGGCTGGTAGACTTAGAGCCGAAGGAGACTCAGAGACCATCGATCCCAACAGACCCCACCCCTATTTTGCAGATAAGGGAATTGAGGAAAAAAGAAGTTCATAGATTTGCCCAGGGTTGCATACTCTGAATGCTTGGAGCACTGGAAAGCTTTAAGTGAAACAATTTAAAAGCACTTATTTGAGATCACGTTGCCAAGTGGTATCTGTAAAGGGTGGGAAACGGCCAGGAAGACTGGAAGGTCAGGTCTGTTCCTGGGAAGATACATTAAGACAGGCTAAAAAAAAAAGAAAAAGGGTCATCACCGAAAGAATGCAGGAGTTGGGGTGGGTAGGAAGACCAGGACTCCAATCCCAGCTGTACTACTTAGTATGTGATCTTAGATGCATCTGTCTCTCTCTGGGCCTCAATTTCCTCATCTTTAGATTGAGTAGGTTGGTGCAGGGGTGGGGAGCCTTTGGCCTCAAGGCCACATGTGACCCTCTGGGTCCTCAAGTGCAGCCCTTTGACTGAATCCAAACGTCCCAGAATAAATCCCCTTAATAAAAGGATTTGTTCAGTAAAACTTGGAGTCAAAAGGCCTCACCCAAGGACCTAGAATCCCACGTGTAACCTCGAGGCTGCAGGTTCCCCACCCCTGGCAGCTAGGTCATTTCTTAGGCCCTTTCCAGCTGTTTCTACCATGGCTTGAATAAGCCTCAGGAGGCCAGGGCCACAACAGAAGTGCTATTCTGCCTAAAGGCAGGTGGGTGTGGGGGGAGAGTGAAAGAATGAGATGACCTACCCTTCTGCCACCCCACCCAGACAAACCCTCCCTTGCTTTTCAGACTCTGGATACCAGAAGATGAATCGATGAAAGGGCAGGACCCAGGACAAGAGCAGCTATACCCACCCGACCACCTGGATCTGCCTGCAGCTCGGGCATGACCTCTGAAATTCCCTCCTGCTCTTCCTACCCCCCAGTTCCTCCACCCTGGGATTGCAGTCACTGCTCAAACAGTCAAATTCTTTCTCAGAGCTCCCGATGGGCACAGAGGCCTGGAATTGGGGAGGTCAGGATACCTGGGTCCCACACCCACTTCCCCACTCCACCAGCTGCTGAGGAGAAGGGTCAGTGAAGGAGCCTGGACCCTGGGTGAGGCCTTGGGGCTGGAGAGAACAGTCTGGCCTGTGGGGCTGGAGAGAATGACTGTCTTAGGATGGAGATGGGGAGATAGGCACTATGGGATGGCCCTGGCTCCAGGAAGTGTGAATATTCACTGCTAAATGGGGCATCTCAGAGCTTGGCTCTGATCATTACCAGGGTGTATAGGGTTAAGAATAAAGTAGAGAGTTTTGAGGTGAGTATCTGTCTGCTCTGTTCCCCTTCACCACCCAGTGGGAAGCCTTGGCCTGAGGTGGGAGGGGCACATACAGAGGGAAAAATGCCGGCTTTAGAGGTCAGAATTTCAGCTCTGCTACTTACTGCTAGTGGGACTTGAGGCAAGTCACTTAACTGCTATTGTCCTCAGTTTCCTCATCTGTAAAATGAGGGGGTTGGATTAGATCCTTTAAATAAGGGGGTTGGACTAGGTGCCTTCCAACTCTAAGTCTGTGTTTCTCTGAATCGCAGTCTGTCTCATTGCTATTCATTCTTTTCCAGCAGATACTTTCCACCATGGCTCCAGGTTGTGTCTCTTCCTGCAGCTGTTATTTTGAGACAAATGAGGGAAGGGGATCAGGGCAAAAGTAGAAGGGTTGGTCGAGGAATGAATGAATGAATGAAAAAGCTGACTATGCATACTATTGTGAGGGACTGTCTGATGTTGGCAGCTACCAGGTTGGGCGCTGTGGCAAGAGTAGGGTAAGATCTGGGTATTTTGGAAGTCGAGGCAGGGGCTGTGGTAGGCAGAGTCATGGTGAACTGGGATGGGCTGGAAACGGAGAAGCCCTGAGGTAATGGGCAGTGCTGTGTGAGATAAGCTGGGTACAAGGAAGTAGCCGGAGCTTGAGCTCCTGAGGCAAGGGGCAGTGCCACGTGGGAGTGGGACGGCAGAGGACTGAGTTCCCTTTGCTTAGTCCCCTCCCTATATGCAACGTCATCCCCAGACGCCTCTTGTGACCTTCCTGACTTCCTGGGTCCCTTTGTGCAACACTGACCGCAGACCCCTCCTGAGTCTGACTTCCTAAGTCACGTACTCTGTCTATGCGCTAATCCCAGACCCTTCCTTCCTATATCTGGTCCTAGCCTCCTACGTCACTCCCTCCCCCTTGGTGTGCTAAACTCAGACAGCCCCTTCCGGTATCTGACCCTACAATCATTGGCTAGTAAGCGGGCTGGGGAGGAGGGGCTACGTAGGTTTTTAGGAACAAGCATGGTCAGATCACACACGCGCGCTCTCCTGGCTCCTGCCCTGTTGCTCTGGCCTTGCTGCTTGGGCTTGCTATTGATGGCTTGCTGTGTTGGCCTCTGAATAAAGCTCTGGTGTTGGCGCCTCCCGATGGCTCGTCTCTGTGTGTTGATCTGGCTGAGGACCGAAGACTCGGGAGTGAGTATGACTCTGGTAGTGTGCTCCTTATAGAAGGAGTGGGTACCGGCGTACGGCTGGCAGAAGGTCAGCGTGCAGCCAGTATATACTATGTTCTAGGCACAGGGGCTACAAATACAAAGGTGAGAGAGTCTCTGCCTTCAGAGAGCTTACATGCCAATCAGGGAAGACAACCCATATAAAGAAATGGGAGTTGGAAAAGAAGAAGTGGTAAGTGGGGGGGGGGTTGTAGAGGATATGGGGGCATGATTTGGAGATGGCCAAAGGAAGATGTGTGGTGGCTTGGTTCTGGACAAGATGAATTAGTTTATTTAATGGCTTTTGTTAGAACCCAAAAGAAGGTTCTGTGGAGGGGAAGAGGTTATTGGGAAGTAACAGATGTTTTAAAAAAAGCAATGGAACATTTAAAAATCAAAAATAAAGACAGGTTGAGATTAAAATACCTCTCAATTCCCTTCCACTTCCAAATCTTTGATTCTCTAGGCTATAATTCTATGAAAGCTTAGGTTCCTGGAGACCAGGTCCCATTAGAAAGAGGATGGAGTCTCCTGATTCTTTAAGGGGTCCTTAATTCTTTTCGCTAGCAGGGCACACCATTAAGGGCAGTACCTGGACTGTGCAGGTCCCCAGAAAAGGATGGATGATTGCCTTTCTAGCAATCCCAAGGTCTTCCACCTTGTTGATGTTGACCTATCATCAAAGAAGTATTATTCTAAGAGTATTATTCCAAGTCTAGAGGACTATATAGTACCCTAAGATGGTGGAGACTGCCAGAAAACGAAAGTATGTTTTCTGCCTGTCCTATGGGCTCAGGTACAAGATCTTTCGGTTCTCTACTGTGTTATATAAAGTCAGTATTTGATGCTTTGTCTGCCTAAGTGCTTGTAGGGGAATCAATGGCCACCCTTATGCCCTTTCCAGGCTTCATCTGGGTGGATGAAACCCTTAGAAGTTTAAACCCAAAGTGTGCACAGCCCCTTTGGGTCAGAAGGGAGTCTGACCCAAGGGTTACCCTTAAAATACCATCCCTTGATCCTGCTATCCCTTTAATCGCTCATCTTCTATTTTCTTCATTTCATTACCAAACTCCTATGAAGAGTTGTCTACACTTGCTGCCTCTGTTTACTTAGCATTGACTCGCTTCTCAATCCAGAATCTCAGAACCAGGGCTCTGAAAGGCTATCTAGTTTAATCCATAGCTATTTAGGAAGGGAGACTTGGTAACTCATTGGGTTTGGGGGGAGTGGACAAGAAGATGGGGAAGCATCTGAGACTGGAAAGATGGTTTTGTCTTCCACAGAAATGGGAAATTTTATAGAAGGAATAGGTTCAGAGGGGAAGATAAGTTCTGGTTTGGATATATTGCTCTTGGGATGGCATGTGGCTATCTGGGTAGAGATTTCCGGAAGATAGTTTGTGACATGGGACTGTTGCTCAGGAGAAAAATTGGACCAAGATATATGGATTTGGAAATCCTGTGAGATTACTGAGAGAGGTTTGGCAGAGGAAACAGAAGAGAGCCCAGGATAGAGTCTTGGGGACACCTATGGCTATGGGGTGGGGGATGGGTGATGATCCCCCAAAGAGACTAAGGAGGAGTGGTTAGACAGGTGGGAGGAGAACTAGGAGAAAGTAGTATGATGAAAGCTGAGAGAGGAGAGGAGAGAAAGGGGAGAGCAACAATATCAAAAACCGAAAAGAGGTTAAGAGGGATGAAGGCCAGGAAAAGGTCGTGGAGTTTATCAATGAAGAGATCAACAGTAAGTTTCACTGTGAGGTCAGAAATCAGACTGGAAGGAGACGAGAAGTGAATGAGAGGTAAGGAAGCAAATAACCTTTTACGTGACTTTTGCTGTGAAATGGGGGAAGTAATATAGGGTAATAACCTGAGGGAATAGCAAGGTGAAGGGAAGGATTTTTTAGGATGGAGGAAACCTGGGAATGTGTGTAAACAAGAGAGAAGAGGTAATGGATAAGGAGAGAGGAGAGAGAGAAAGAGAGAGAGAGATGGGAGGGAGGGAGAGGGAAGGAGGGAAAGAGATGGGAGGGAGGGAGGAAAGAAGGGGAGAGAGAGAAAGAGGGGGAAAGAGAGAGAGAGGCAGACAGAGACAGAGAGAGACAGAGACAGAGTGGAGAGAGGCAGACAGAGACAGAGAGAGACAGAGAAACAGAGTGGAGAGATGGGGGAGAGAAAGAGAGAGAGAGAGAGAGGGAGACAGAGAGGGAAACAAAAGGGCAAGTTCTTGGATGAGATTAGAGATTAGAGGTATGGGATCAAGGGCACAAGTAGAAGACTTGGCCTTGGTAAGGATGAGGGCTGGCTACCTCTATGTCAGAGATTGAAGCAGAAGGAGAGAATAGGGGATGATATAGAGGTGTTCTGAAGTATTGTGGGAATTGATTGAACCACACTAACTCCATCTTGTGACTCAATCACTTTCTATTCAGTTGTGGGTCTAGTCTAACTTCTGTCTTGTGAGAAAACTTTACTCCATTATGGGAATTGTGAGAAAACTTTATTGCATTGTTTGAACCTAGCCTTGCATGGCTGGGAGGCTGGACCACCTCTACCTGTTGTTTAGAAACCCTTAACTAAAGGACCTAGTTTGTGCTGACCAGAGATCCAGTCAGAAATGAAGATTGATGCAAGGAGTTTTCTCACAATTAGATATCTGAAGCAACACAAATGTCTTATCTGAAACCTGGTCCTATACTGGTCGATCAGTTACTATTTCCATGTTCCTTTGATTGAATGCAGGCACTTGGGAGGAGTGAAACATCTGTTTTTCTGATTTCAGGGAACTGTACCTGTTCACTCTCCCCCTCCCAACTTGGAAAGTCTCTAATCTTTCCTCCAATTAGAAACCAGAAGATCTCATTTTGCATCTTGGTTTATATTCTGTTAATTATTTTCTTTTAATGCATAAAAGTATGTATCCCCCTGAATTTGGGGGGTCTAGTGCCAAACTGAAGAGTCCTGGTCCCAATTTGTTGTGCAATTGGCATGCATTGCTTAATAAACTGATAGAAGCTTGAATCTTTGTTTCCTCAGTTATTTCAGATTTCCCTTGTTATAGTTTTTGGTGAACCAAGCTAGGTTGAGTCAAGACTCTTGACTCCTGGGACAACAGACTTTCAGAAAAACTCCTTTTTTTCCATGTGACGTTGTGGAAGACTGCCTTTGGAGATTCCCCCCTCAATTTCAAATTCTTCTAAGCTAAGGTAAGGTTTACCCCCGCCTTGATGGGGAAAAGATACTCCCTTTAAGGGAATGATCGGTTCAGGTAATAGTAAAACACCAAAGGATTCCTCTTCAGATA